AATATCTCTCTCTCTCTCTCTCTGTATATAATATATATATATATAAGTTCTATTTAGCCTTTTTTATCTAGAAAAACTCTTGGAGAAAAAAAAATCTGCCGGCATCTCCCCCACCCAAAGAACTTCTACTATGCTTAAGAAGTAATAAGAAGGTGATAGGTTAGCAGGTAGGACTGTCCATCCGGTCCGGCCCGAAAACCGAGCCTGGGCCGAGCAAAACCGGAGCCCGGACCCGGGCCCAGGGGCCCGGGCCGGCCCGGGTTTTATTTGTTTTTTAAAATTTTTAAAATTTTTCAAAGCAAAGAAATAAACACAATTTTGATAAAAATTTATATTATTAATTAATTGCAATTATGTAATTTATAAATATAAAAAATTATAGAAATTAAAATAATATAAAATAATTATAGAATTTATAGAAACAAAAAAAAAAATAAAAATAATTGTAGAATTCAAAAAACCTAAGAGCCTAATGCCTAATCAAAGACATATAAATATATATGTTATGGCTAGGATTTGAACCACTAACCTTGTAGGCTGTCTAAAATCACAATAGATAGCTTATCCCCCATCAAACACCGATGATGGAAGTTATAATCTGACGACTTCCAGAAGGCTACAATTTGAAGACTTTCACGTAGATCGCTGTAGGTTACAATCTGACGACCTTCACGACAACCGATGAGAGCTCTAGTTCAACAGCATTCACAATCAACATCGGGAGTTACAATCTGACGACTCTCATATTCTCAAGAAGCCAAGACGAAGATTACAAGACAATGATCTTTGCAACGCTATGACAAAAGAGATTACTTGTTGATAATCTCTCCAAAGCAAGACGCGGAACTCATCACCGCGCTCTAAGACCAAAACACGGAGGTCCTCCCCGTGTATCAACACCAAAACGCGGAGGTCCTCCCCGTGTATCAACAACAAAACATGGAGGTACTCCCCGCGAACGCTGGAGTCGGACCCGCGTTACAACATTAAAACGCTGGGGTCGGACCCGTGTTTTTTAATGCCCAGCGGGTACCCAACTCCGCGTCTCCAGTCTAAAATGCGGAGTTAGGGTCCTGAACGCCAACGTGGGCGTTTGACTCGTTCAAACACGACCTGAACGGTTGTAGGAACCGTTTTCCCTTCATGATCTGAGGGATTTTTGCCCCACTTGGGAGCGAATTAAGGGGGGTTACACCCCTCTCAATCCCATTATGGAGAGAATTAAGGGGGCGGTTACACCCCTTAATTCCCTATAAATATGGGTAAACTCAATGGAGTTCAGGCTGGCATTTTCGGATCTGGGACTTGGCAGCGAAGGGTTGGATCTTCTTGGCTCGGATTGACCCTGGAGCTTGGCAGCAAAGAGAGGATCTTTGGAGCATTCTCGGAGCTGGAGATCGACAACAGAGAGCTTTTATCCATTGGCTTATTAACCGATCTTCGGTTCAAATCAACTCTTTCACAGAGTTATTCTAAACTCGTTCAGAGTTCTCAAACTTGCCACGCAAGTTCTCCACAGCGTCGAATCGTGAGGAGAAGACATCGTTCCAGTGAAGCAAAACGTCAGATCGTCAACGGAGAGCAAACTCGACGCGAGCATTCGAGGGAGGCACTCCATCGCCACCGTGAAGAACCCAGTTTTAAACAAAGGGGAGAATCCAATTCATTCTCCTCTCTTTTGTAATCACGAAATCCAAATTGTAATCGATTTTGAGAGAATACAAATCAATTTTTCTTTCATTTCTTTTACATCGAATTTTCCCACAAACAAACCTCCTCTCCAAACTCCTAAATTTTACCACTAGACTAAGAAGCCCAAAACAATCATGTAATTCAATATATGTATATGTACATACACACACACACACATATAAATATATTATACATAAACAAATTGTAAATACTTATAGAAATTACATAAACAAATTGTATTATACATAAATAAATATATATAAATTATATATATATATATATATATATATATATATATATATATATATATATATATAGGAACAATTCACTACATTAATGGCAACATTAATGCTTCTCTGTTGAGTTCTCCATTTCCCCATTTCTCTCTCTAACTCACTTCCCGCTCTCTGTAACTCACTTCCATCTTCTATCAAGCTTTGATCTTCCATCTTCGCATGAAGAACACATCAACAATTCATTAAAAATGATCCTAACCATCCAAGCTTTCGCTGGAGTGAATCTGGATTCACTCCAGTGAATCTGGATTATATTGAAGCTCGATTCATTGGAGTGAATCCAAATTCACTGAATTGAATCCAGATTCAGTGAACTGAAACTCGTTATCAAACAAAAGCAAATCTGCAAAAATAAAAATAAAAAAGAATAAGAAACTTATGGTAAAAAACAAGCTATAAAATTTTAAACCATGATAAGATTTCATATTTTACAACAAAAAGTTACAATTTTTATGGTAAAAAACAAACACCTCACATAACTGAATCTGGATTCACTGCAGTGAATCTAGATTCACTCATGCGTTTATTTTTTCGAAATTACAGCACATGTATTTATTTCTTCAACAATTCATTAAAAACCATCCTAACCATCCTAACCATCCAAGCTTTCGCTGGAGTGAATCCGGATTCACTCCAGTGAATCCGGATTCACTCCAGTGAATCCGGATTATATTGAAGAATAAGAAACTTATGATAAAAAACAAGCTATAAAATTTTAAACAAAAAGAATAAGAAACTTATGGTAAAAAACAAGCTATAAAATTTTAAACCATGAAAAGATTTCACCTTTTACAGCAAAAAATTACGATTTTTATGGTAAAAAACAAACACCTCACATACTGAATCTGGATTCACTGCTGTGAATCGAGATTCACTGCAGTGAATCTAGATTCACTTATGCGTGTCTTCGTCTTTCAACTGGTTTCTTCAAAAAACAAAAAAACTTTTCAGACTAAAAGGTAAAATATTTCACCTTTTACAACAAAAAGCTACGATCTTTAAGGTTAAAACTAAAACTTTTAGACGAAAAATCAAACAAATTTTATAAACTTACTTTAAGGTTAAAACTAAAACTTTTAGACGAAAAATCAAACAAATTTTATAAACTTACCATTAAAGCGTTAAAATAATTAAACGATGACAAATGTTGAAGACAATGGTTGAAGATGAAGGTTGAAGAAGACCATTGATAGGGAGATGTTGAAGACAGAGAGAGATTTGCTGTAATTTTGGACGAAAGAGAGAGAGAGAGAGTTGCTGTGATTTTGGAGAGAGAGAGAGAGTTGCATGGGGAAATGGAGAACTCAACAAGAAGCATTAATTACCTCTCTTTAGTGGGCTGTTTATTTTACCTTATTACCCTTATGCAGCTTTAATCTCAGCCATTGGATGAATCTAGATCCAATGGAGGATTGGTTTTTAGTTTTTAGTATAGTGAGGTTTTTATATATATATTACACATATAAAAAAATAAAAAAAAGTTACTATTCCGGGCCGGACGTCATCGAGCCGGTCCGGACCCAGGTCTAGTCTGGATTTCCGGGCCAACCCCGGGCCGGACCGGAACCGGCCCGATCCGGGCACGGGCCGAATCCTGACCGACGGGCTTTTTGGACAACCCTACTAGCAGGCAACCACTAGCACGATGCCAAGGTCACCCACTATTTATCATTCAAATCATTTCAAAGCATGTTGCCAGCGATTATGCCATGGGCTAGAAAAGGATGAAGTTACAGTTGTCCTCCTCCTTGTCTCTGTCTTGTTCAAACTTCAAATTTAGGGACGTACGGTTTGAGTGAAGAAAGGTCTCAGAAGTAAGATCATTATTATCCTCGTAGATGTAAACGGAGTTTAGTTTCGGGGTTTATCTGTCTATATCAAACTTAAAGGTACCGTTTAAAAAAGAGTTAAGTGAGGAGTTAAGGAGACTTAACCCATTCTTAACCCGCCAAACATAAAAAATCTATACAATGGTTAAAGTGAGTTAACACTCCATAATTTGCCAAGCATAAAAAATATAGAAGAGTTTAAACTAACCCATTTAGAGGGATTAAAATGAGTTAACCTCTTAAAATGAGGGGTTTACTAATACTCCTATTTAGAACGATTAAGAGTTAACACTTCTAATTATAAAAAAAAAATAGTCAAAATCATTATTATTTTCAAACACTAAAAGTGATTATAATGACTAAAATAAAACTTATTTAACGAGTTAATAAATGGGCTAAGTACATTAATCCTTCTTTTTAACCCCTCTTCCTTAACCCTTTGCCAAACGGGACCTAAAAGTATGAAACCTCGGAGGAGCACAATACTACTTTCATATCCAAGATGCTTCATTTTTATGTTTGAAGTTTTACCGGAAGAAGAATGTTGGAAATGAACATCCGATATCGTCTTCAAATTTAAGTTGATAGAGAGCGTCTCCTTGTCTTTGGGTGACGGCGTTCATTTGATTATTTCACGTTTTAATTTGTTTGTGATAGAAAAAAGAAGGGGCTACATGGAATTTTTCTAGCCTTAAAAGGTAAGCAATCAGTCGAGATATGTTAATCATAAATTTCAGAAACCCCTGAACTTTGTGGCATTTTCCATGGAGCCTCCACGAACTTTGAAAATTAGAGAAAACGCCGCTAAACTTAAGGGCTTATGCAGACTCGAGTTAAGTTGCAATTTTAACTTTTTCTTACGAACAAGAAAGTATCAAAGAGACCCAGGTTCGTGACTTTGAACATGCACGGAAGGGGCTATTACTATTAGCCCTTGCATATTGGACTTCAGAATTCATGCACGGATCTCATGGTTGACATGATTTCGGTACACGTTTAATGGCATGAACACTTTCTCAAGATGAAACACGCAACTGCGCTCGGTCACAAATTTGGGGTTGCCAAGTGAAAACAATATCCCTGCTTTCAGGTAGCAAAGTGAAAACAATATCCCTGTTTCTAAATGCCTCGATTATTCTCAACAGCAAAGTGAAAACAATATCCCAAGCTCATATATACTGCA